AGGAAAACAACAGCAATATGCTATCGGGCTGGCGCTATTCCGCGCGAGCCCTGCTTATCCCAAGTCCAGGAGGTCCGGGATTCAAAAACGGAGCGATGCTCCAGAACTCACGCGGGGATCCGGGCCCGAGTCGCCTACATTGGGAGTGTTATGGACAGGGCGAGTCGAGCCCTCACCATTGGGGCGCTTCTCTCGGGGCTCTTACTCGCCTGTCGCGCCGGCAGCGTCCAGATTCCCGGCCCACTGCAGGCGCGCCCACTCCACCAGAAGGCGGGCAAGTAGATTTTCATACCCCCTTAACCAAAGGTTTCGATGGGGAGGAAAAGAAAATCTACTTGCCCGCCTTCTGGTGGAGTGGGCGCGCTTGCAGTGGGCCAGGAATCTGGACGCTGCCGGCGCGAGTAAGAGCCCCGAGAGAAGCGCCCCGCCACGCGCCGGCCCCACACTCCCCAGAAACCACACCAAGCCATAAGGGCGGGCGGGCGGGCAACGACGAAGGCGATGACAAACAACACCACGGGCGCTGTGAACAGCACCTGGCCCAACTTGTGGACCACTGGGAGCCTGCAAAGACCCCCCGGTGGAGCGAGTGCACCCCGCAGGGCGGTTGCTCCGCGGCGGCCGTGGTGCCGGGAACTTGCTATCCCGCCCCCGAGCCGGGCGGTGCCCCCATCGGCCTCTGGAGTTGTCGAAGACCACCGCTGCTCCGAGTTGGAGCCAACCAGGCTTTGGAAGAAATCCGCCGCTCCGTCGGGAGCCCAAGCCGTGACTGCCCACGAGTTTACGTACACGGTTAAAGCCATCAACTGATGAATCTACCAACCGTTTTGCGTCAGGCTGGGCTTTAGATTTTCCTCCCCATCGAAACCTTTGGTTTAGGGGGTATGAAAATCTACTTGCCCGCCTTCTGGTGGAGTGGGCGCGCCTGCAGCGGGCCAGGAATCTGGACGCTGCCGGCGCGACAGGCGAGTAAGAGCCCCGAGAGAAGCGCCCCAATGGTGAGGGCTCGACTCGCCCTGTCCATAACACTCCCAATGTAGGCGACTCGGGCCCGGATCCCCGCGTGAGTTCTGGAGCATCGCTCCGTTTTTGAATCCCGGACCTCCTGGACTTGGGATAAGCAGGGCTCGCGCGGAATTGCGCCAGCCCGATAGCATATTGCCGCTGTTTTCCTCAACTCTCTACGCCTGATCCATCGTCTGACGAGTCGGAAAACTCTGCCGCCCACTTAGCAGCCAGAACTTCCCCCTTCGTCTGCGCCGCGGCGTAGCCGAACGCAGCTAAGCCACGCCAGCCGCCTGAATAAAACAAGGCTGGCACTCCCCCATGGCGCAGGGCGTCATTGGCCCAACCGCGGCGGAAGCAGTGGGTGCCCCATTCTGCTCCTCTCGGGAAACCAAGTGCTAGTGCTGCAGTTTTCAATGCTGCTAAAGCCCTGTCGTACTGGAGGACTGGAAATAGTGCTCCCTGGCCGCAACGTCGACGCAAGACGCAGACCCCGCACAAGTCTGGCGATGCGGACTTGCAAATGCACTGCCGCACCACATGCACAGATTTGTCTTGCATTTTCCTTCTGTGCAAAACGACGGTAACCTCAGACACATTGTCGCGGACGTGGCGCCGCACTTCAGAATGGGACGGGTCGGCACCAAGTTTAAGTACTTCGCAGCCATACCTCAATGTGAAATGTCTGGCCACGACCCAACTGTCTGCGAGCTCCGCGTCTTGCAACACGTCCCGGGCGTAGCCCGCGAGTTCGCGGGTCTGCCTCGCAGACGCAGTGGCCTTGAAGCGCGGCGCAGAAGTGCAGCTCTTCTGGGCGCCTTTGACTAGCATGCTCGTGTCAGCCAGCGACCCCAAAGGCGCCTGTATAAGCCTGAGCGTGGACCGCACATGGGAACAGTACCGGGAGAGCGTGGACGCCCGTGGGACTGCAAATACAAGCGCTGCGAGCACCACCTGATCAGGCGGCCACTCTGGTACGCCAGTTGCCGCTGCCAGCTTGCCCCACAATCGCACAGCTGATGCGTAGCCTTGTCCACTCTGTCGCCAGTTTTCCATTTCCTGGAGCAGCAAGCGGCCGCGGAGCGCATCATCGCGACGCTCCGCCGGAATTTGCGCCAGCCACCGCGCTCTCGCAGATGGCAGAGGTGAGGCCGCGGCGCCGTCACGCAGCCCCGGAGCTGGCGCTCTGCATATGACAGAAATTGATTGCGCCAGGACATCAGCGGGAGGCGCACATCTTCGAGCTCTGGCTTGCACCAAAACTTCCATTGTTGCAGAAAGCCCGTCGGCCGCCGCCCTGGCAGCCGGCCTCCCTGGGAGGCAGTTCTTGCTCACAAAAGCGTTCTGGCTTGTGTCTTTTCAGCTTAGGCACGACGGCGCTTGAGCCGCGCGCGCCCGTCTGCCACGACACGGAACGCAGGAAGTCATCGGACAGCGTTCTGAGAGGCGGCCACACTTCTCGCAACTCTGCTGCTGAGAGGCCTTGGAGGTCGCCGCCATGAACAGCACCAGAATCGGCCAGCGCCTGCAAGACTGCGTCAGGCGATGCCGGATGGCACGAAGCTGGCGCCCAGGCCAGCACACTCTGGAACCATGCCTTCAGCTCCGTTGGCACAGGAGTCTGCCGCGGCACCTGCGCGCCCCGGGCGGCCTCCAGATGGCGCCGCCGGGAAGCATCGATAAACTGGAAGGCCATCAAGAAACGCTTGTGCCCAGCCGGCTACGGAATGAGGGCGCAGGCTGCGACAGGCAGGCGGCCGCGAAGCCAGAAGAGAAGGCCACGACGGTCAACTGTTGCGTGCAATGTTTTCCCTCCTGCGCTCGCGTCTGCCCTCGCCAGAGCTCGTCCCAAACGCTTGCTTCCGGCCAGCGCCAGTGCACCTCCTCGAACTCTTGCTCGAGCAGAGTGCGCAATTTGTCTGGCTCTTCATGGGCTCTGGACGGGGCGTCTGCAAGGTTCTGAGCAGACGGCACACGGAAGGGGCACAAGACGTCGCCCCTGTCTGCAGCCGCGAACCACATGGACGTCACTAAAGCATTCCAATCGATATGCCTGGACGTCCCTTTGAGCAATGCCCCTAGCGCTGGGTTGGAATCCACGAATCTCATAATCTCCAACCCTGGCTCCAGAAAGGTGTACGCGTGCCAAAGGCCACACACCGCAGCAATGAGCTCCCACGTGCCGATTTGCTGCCGGCGCGGCTTCACTCTGTCGCGCAGCCATCGCGGGACCCACGCTCGGGCGAACTGCTTTTGGTTGCCCTGCGCGAGAACCCACGCGAGTGCTCCGCACCCCGCTGCGTCGGTATGAATGACAAGCCGGGGCCGCGCAGCTGGCAGGTAGGGCATCTCGCGGCGAGGCTCGGATTGCAAAAAGCGAAGCCACCAGTGGAGAGCCCGGCGCAGGCGCAGAGAGAGTTTGGAGAGACGACGGGCCGAGTGGAAGAACAGAGCTGCAAGATACACTCTTGCGCCCCTGCCAAACACCATCGTTGCTCCCCAACTCAGCTTCCCTGCTAGCTTCCGGGCCAGCGCCGGCGACAGCATGCCCAATTCGAGAATCTTATCGATCTCAGCAATCCACTTCACGCGCTTTTCCTCGGGAATGCTAAAGACAAAAAGTTCCCGGGCATCATCCAGGGCAACCTGGATGCCGAGAATTACGGCTACAGAAGCGTCTGCGACAGCTTTCGCGTCGCCCAGCTGCCAACCCAACAATTCTTGCACGACTTCGCGCGCAAGAAATGCAGCACCACTCGGCCCTGCGAGGGCAGTATCTCCCGGCGTCTCGCGGTCGACGCCGAAGAAGTCATCGACAAAACGCGGGTATAAAATGCAGAACAGCTCTACAAGCACGTGTTGGAGCGCAGCACCGACGCGGCGCCATGCACGCACGCTTGCAACAGCCCCAAACGGGCAAGAAAAGAGCTGCAACGCGAAGCCTGTTTGCGCCGTGTCCTCTGCGACGGCCACAGCGCAAGGCAGGTCATCCGCGCAAATCGGCAAAGTCTTGTATGCGCCTACAACGTCATCCCCGCGAAGATGAAGTGTTGCTGGGCCTCTATCTGGCCCACTTGCTTCCCAGATGCCTTGGCCAATTGCTACTAGTGCGTCGAGGTGCTCGCGACGCACCCGCTCCTCGACTTGCGTGCCTTCGTTCACACTGGAAGCGTGAAAATCATCAATGGCGCGGACAGCGCGCACAAAAGATGAACCTTTAAACTTCCAGCCCTCGTCCACTCCGAAACGTGGAGAACACGCCGCCTCGCTGAGTGTCGCCGACAACGGCGTCCATCTAGCTTTACCTGCTACCACCTCGGCTGCCGTCTGCGCCCGCAGCGCTGCTGCCGCTTCTTCATCCGACAGGGTAGAAGAAGCCGCTCTCAAAATCAGCGCTGCGTTGTTAGCAGGGGCGCGTCGCCAGAGTTCCTCCAACGACAAGGGCGGAACAGGTGAGCATGCGGGGAGCGCGCCGCTCGGGGGGGCCTCCCAAACGAGCTTGAAACCACGCCTTCAATTTTTAACTAATTGAGCGTCTGGGCTAATTGATGCCTCCAGCATCTGTGCCAGCAAAAGCAAATTTTTTCCGGACCTAGAACGGCTTGCACGTGTGCTGGGAGTGTTATGAACTCCCGCTGCCATTCAAAATCTGTCACTCGCTTGCGTTCGCGCCAGAAAGCTAAGGCAGACGCCCGGAAGCTGTGTAAAGAGCTCCTGTCCCCACTTTCATGAAGAACTGAGCTGCGCGCGCTGGCAGGTACACGGAAGACGCCCAAGCAAGGAGGCAGGGCAAACGCCCACTTGAAATGGCTCACTGGCGACATGTTAGCAAGTCTATGTACATCTTGCAACAAGCTGTTCACTTCAGCTTGTAATTCATGCAGATCCGCGGCAAAACCGACGGACCCGTCGAGACTATCTTCGCAAGTCTCTTGCGCGAGGGGAGGAGCCGCTGGATGATCCCCAGACGCATCGCTGGCGCTCTGCGAACCAGCTCACCACTTCTTGTCGCCCTTCTTGGTGTTGTCCCACTTCTTGGCATACCAGTCAGCGTTCCCCTTGGGGCTGCGCGAACGCACAGGAGAGTGGACCTGGCGCCCCTTGAGGTGCTGGGCGGGCAGCTTGCCTCCCTTGGGGGGCCCCTTGCCGCCTCCTTTGCGGGAAGCGGGTGCCGGCCGCGACGGCTGGGAGCCAGAGGCCTGGCCCGTCTTCGTGGCCGCCTTCGCGGTCTCTTTCACGCGCTTTTCAGCGCTGTTCTTCGCGTCCGCCAGCACGTCCCGGTCCAGAGTGCACAAGAGCGTCTCCATCTGCGTCCGCTCGTCCCTTTCAAGCTCCCGGGCGAGCTTCTGTCTGAGCAAGAGATCGCAGTGTGTGCACACCCTGAAGCCGCCGCGTTCTTCTGCCACCCGGGTGAGCACGATCTGGTACGCGAGCAACTGCGTGGAGGCGATGGCCTTCGTGAGGGCCATCTTCACGCCCCAGTCCAGGATATGTCCATAGAACGTAGCGAATCCTACAAAAGTGGCCCTGTCCTCCAAGCTCCTCGGTTTCTTCGCCTCTACCGCGCTGCGCAGCTTCTCCTCGAAGCTGCCGTCGCCGACGGTCACGTCGATCTTGGGTGCGCGCGACCACGGCGGGCGAAAGGAGACTTGGAGGTCCTCTCCCTCTGCCGACCCAATATAAAGGCGGCCCTGGTCCCGTGCGACCTTGCTGGCTTTCTCCAACCGAATCATAGCCTCCTCCGAGGGCATCCTATCTGTAGGGGGATTCCCGAGACCGAGCTCGTCCAGGCGCTGTTTCAGGTTGAAAGACAAGCATTCCTTCTTGGGCTGGTCTCGCTTCTGCGTTGCCTTTGCAAGCGCCTCGATCGCCTTCGCCAGGTGCTCTGGCGAGGTCCCGGTGCCAGGCTCAACGCTGCCAGCCGGGCCGTTGCTCTGAGACCCTGCTGCCCGAGCTTGCACTTTAAGAGCAGCCGTGATGTGCGCAGGGGTGAGTCGCACATATTTCCACTCCGATCCCTCCGGGTCGTCTTGGAACGGCGTGGTGTTTGCGCGGATACCTTCGATGATGAAAGTGCGCATCTGCGGGTCCGCGAAGTCCGACGGCGCTGCTGAGCCCATCTGTTCGGACATCACTCGGGCGACACTGGCATGAAACACCTCGTCGTGGCTGATTGGCTCGCTTGCGTCCGCAACGAAGTGGAGCCACTCTTCGATGGCACTGCTCGACAACTTCAGCCACTTGCCTTCTGGCACTTTAGCGATCAAAGACTGCACCTTTCCTGACTCAAGAGGCATGACTCCGAGTGCTACAGCAGGTGGTGGGCGAGAGCGTGGGCGCAAAGAGCAATCAATCACTCTGAGCCCAGACGACTCCGGAAGAGCCAATGCATGGACATGCGCATGTTTCTCCCCTTGCACGAGGGGCACTTCAACCTCGCACGCAGGTAAAACCTGAAGGCCCCTTGAGCACCCCCACCTGCGTCCAGCAGCCAGTTTTCCGATCGCGCCCAGCTGTCGCAATGGCACGTCGGCCGCTTGAGCCCCAGCACGAAGGAAGGAAGGGGAGATATTCCTCCGCTCCGCTCCGCCTTCCCTGGACGCAAATTCGCACAGCTCTCGCCGCTGCACATCCCGGCGACCCCCCTTTGACGTCCATCGCGGCCAGGGGGGCCACTCGGGTCACCTTGGAGCGAAACCACGCAAGCTACAGCAGTGCCACGCCGATCCCAGTCGAACCCCTTTGACCGCTCAGCGGCCAGGGGAACTGCATGGGTCCCCCTGCTTCCTCGCCCTCCGCCGGGCCAGAGCGAGGCGCACCATAGCTTGTTTTGGCCAAGTGGCAGCATGCGAGGGGGCTTCCGCTCATCCCACGCTGATGCAGACGGACGTCGTCGCCCCGAGAAGATTCTCGTGCGGCCGCTCTCCTCTGGGATGGCCCTGCGCGCTCGCACGCACCGTTGGGCGACACACAGCGCGCAGCCGGGCAGGGGAGCACGAGAGACCCCAAGGAGCCCTCGAGACCCAGCCCGGCTAGCACACAAGACACCCCAGGGAGGGCGAGCGGGAAAGCCGGCCGCGCCGGCGAAAGCGACGCCCCAGGCGACCAGCGCCCGCGGCCCGCAGGAGGGCGCGCCGGCCCGCCAGAGCGCCGCCCCGACGAGGCCGCGCGCGCCCAGGCCACACTGCACAGCCGCTGGCCTGCAGCGTAGCCACGCGGCTCCCACGGGAGCACTGGCCGATATTTGCTACCCCGCCTCGGGCCCGGGCGGCAAGGGGAGCGGAGACGCCGAAAGGCAACCGAATCACCAAATCCCCGAATGGGGACAGAAGCGGCCTGTGAGAATCTTCCTCCCCAGAACCAAAGCTTAGGGATGATGAAGATTCTCGTGCGGCCGCTCTCCTCTGTGATGGCCCTGTGCGCTCGCACGCACCGTTGGGCGACACACAGCGTGCAGCCGGGCAGGGGGGCACGAGAGACCCCAAGGAGCCCTCGAGACCCAATGCTGGGGCTCTCGGCGACCCGGGCCCCAACCCCACTGCTGACGACGAGAGCACAGCAGCACTGATGATGGCACAGACCCGACGATATTTTTCACAGTCTCCACCGCTCACGGCGCGCCGTCGGACGCAGACGAGTCCGAAAACTCCACTGGCCACTCCGCAGCAGTCATGGCGTCTCTGGAGGCGGCAGAGGCGTAGCCGAACGCAGCGACGCCACGCCAGCCTCCACTGTGGAAGAGCGCCGGCACGCCGCCCGCCGCTAAACACTCGTCCGCCAAGCCTCTGCGGAAGGCATGTGTGCCCCACTCGGCCGCGCGCTCGAATCCGAGCGCCAGCGCCGCTGCTTTCAGCGTGGCCAGAGCCGCCCTGTAGGACAGGCCAGGGAAGAGGCGCCCCCGCCCAGCCCGGCGCTGCAGGACGCACACCCCGCACAGCTGCCGCGACTGGAGAACGCAGATGCACCGCCTCGTCACCACCACTGTCTCTGTGTGCATCTTGCGCTTGTGCAAGTAGATGCACGCCTTGGGCAAGCCCCCGTCGACCGCGAGCACGACCCTGGAGCGCGGCCCGTCGTGCTCCAGAGGCACCACCTCCGACGCGAAACGGAGACAGAAGTGTCTAGCGACCACGAAGGAATCCGCCACCAGAGGGTCCCGGAGCACCTCCCGCACGTGGCCAGCAACGCTGCGGGTGTCGTGCGCACTGGCCCGCTGCTCGAGAGCGGCTCGTGCCGGGCACCGTTTTGGCGGCCCCCCGTGCCAGACTTGAGGTGTCTTCCAAACACCCCAAAGAGGTGCAGTACGTCATCAGCGTGTTGCCGTTCTGCACTGCGAAAGCAAAGGCCCCCAGCACGCTGTCTGTCGGCGGCCACGGCGGCACTCCGACGCCCTTGGCTACCTGGCCCCAAAGCCGCACTGCGGACGCATACTTGTAAGCACTCCGATGCCACCCGCAGAGCTCCCGTCTCAAAAGCTCCTGCGTCGCTGCGAACTCAGACATATTGCCCACCAGTTGCAAAGCACGCTCTCTCGGGTTGCCCCCTGCGCCTCCGCGACGCCGAGCCCGCGCCACTTGGAGCTCTTCAGGCGCAACGCGGCCCAGCGTTTGCACTGCGTCGGCCAAGTCCTTGGGCTCCAGGAAAATCCTCCGAAAGCGAGCTGCGGCCAGGAAGCCAAGAGCAGCAAGGGCACCTTCAGCTTCGCACCCTTCTGGCCCTGCGGGCGCGGCGCTTTCCACCAAAGGCGATGCGACCTCACCGCTCGGGCCGCCGCTGCCCTGGGAGGGCCGCCGGCGGCGCCACAGGAGAGCGCATCCCGGAAGGGAAAATGGCCAAGAATTCACTGGCCAGCTCTCGGAGGCACGGCCAGACGCCCCGAAGTTCCTGCACACTCATGTCGTTGAAGTCATCTCCGGCCACGGCCCCGCCACTGGCGAGAGCGCGCAACACACTGTCAGGCGATGCCGGGTGGTAACGCGGCGGCGTGCGCCGAAGCACCCCCGTGAACCACTGTGCAAGAGCAGGCGGCACCACATCATGGGAGCACGCTTCTTCTGGCGGCTCAGGGTCCGAAGCGCCATCGCCCAAAGCCCACCGCGCATGTTGGGCCAAGCTGACTACGGATGACTGCGTGGGCGGCCGTGCGCCGCCGCACGCGGCAAGAAACGCTGACGAAGCAACAACTGCGCACTTTTTTCCTTCCTCACGAATGCATGCCCGTCACCGCCTCTGCTGCCAGAAATCCACTGCCGGCCAAGCCCACTCGAGGCGAGCGAAGCCGCGAGAGACCAGCTGTGCCAACTCCGATGCCTTCTGCTCTGGACGAGTTGGCCAGTCTGCCAAATTTAAATGTGAAGGCACGCGGAATGCACTTAAAAAGTGGCCGCGGTCTGCTGCAGCAAACCACACGCCAGCCACCATAGCATTCCAGTCACGCTGGCGGGAACACCCGCGGAGCAGCGAGCTACTAGCTCCCAGGTGTGGATTTGCTGCTGACGCGGGCAGGCCCACCTCGCAAGCCAGCCCGGCACTGGCGCTGAAGCGAAAAATTATCCCGGCAAAGCAACCTAACAGCGATGTGTAGGAGCATATCTGGAGCATTCCCCTTAAGATTCAAATGAAAATCCAGTTGTAGAATTGTGCTGTTCTCGCAGTCGTAGTCGCATTCGCGATGACAGTCGCAGTGGCAACGGCAGTCACAGGCACAGCCTCAGCCTCAGCCTGCCTCAGCCTCAGCCTCAGCCTGCCTCAGCCTCAGCCTGCCTCAGCCTCAGCATCAGCCTGCTTCAGCCTTAGCCTCAGTCTGCCTTCAGCCTCGGCGTCAGCCTCAGGCTGCCTCAGCCTCAGCCTCAGCCGCAGCCTGCCTCAGCATCAGCCTGCCTCAGCCTCAGCCTCAGCCTGCCTCAGCATTCAAAATGTGGCCTGGGAATGTAATTCTGGGAACTCGAAGAACACGAAGTGGCCTACAGTTGGCTCCAGGCATTCAAATTCATACCCAGGAATGGAGTTCTGGGAACTCGAAGACCACGAAGTGGCCTACAGTTGGCTCCGGGCATCCAAAATCTGGCCCCGGAATGGCCTACAGTTGGCTCCGGGCACGCAAATTCATGCCCAGGAATGGAATTCTGGGAACTCGAACACCACGAAGTGGCCTACAGTTGGCTCCGGGCATCCAAAATCTGGCCCGGGAATTGAATTCTGGGAACTCGAAGACCACGAAGTGGCCTACAGTTGGCTCCGGGCATCCAAAATCTGGCCCAATAATGGAGTTGTGGGAACTCGAAGAGCACGAAATGGCTTACAGTTGGCTCCGGGCATCCAAAATCTGGCCCGGGAATGGAGTTCTGGGAACTCGAAGACCACGAAGTGGCCTACAGTTGGCTCCGGGCATTCAAAATGTGGCCCGGGAATGGAATTCTGGGAAGTCGAAGAGCACGAAGTGGCCTACAGTTGGCTCCAGGCATTCAGAATGTGGCCCCGGAGTGGAGTTCTGGGAGGTCGAAAAGCACGAAGTGTGTGACTGTATGCGAAAAACGATCCCGGCCGGCAAACCCCAACACCTCCCCAACGGCTGCCCAGACCCCCCTGTGGAGTCATCTGCTGCTCTCTTTTTACCCCATTAGAAACCCATCAGTCTTCGCTGTTAGGTAACTTGCGCCCGGCCAGCACTGCCACCCAAGCCAGCACGCCTGCTCCCGAGGCGTCAGTGTGCACCACCAAACGTGGCTTCACCGATGGCGACAGCGGGACGGCCCTGCCTGGCTGCGAATTGAGGAACCGCTGCCACCACAGGAGCGCAAAGCGCAAACGCTTGGAGATGCGAGCGCTTCTCCCGGCTGAATGCCGGAAGAGCGGCGCCAGATAGACGCGCGCGCCCTTCCCGAAGACTGCCGTGGCCCCCCAGCTGAGCCGGCTGGCCAGCTTCTGCGCGCGCGCTGGCGTTAAACGCTGGCCCCGGAGCACCTCTGCGATTTCCGCCAGCCACTTGGCGCACTTGTCGCTGGGCCGCGAGAAGGCAGGGACGCTGGGCGTGCCCGCGAGAAGGCAGGGACCCTGAACTTGCCCGCGAAGGCGGAACCAGAGAATGAGAAACACGGTGGCCTGAGTTTGCCCGCGAGAAGGCAGGGACTCCGGGCATGCCCGCGAGAAAGCAAAACCGCAAAACCGCCACCAGGCGGCTGCTGCCCGCCCTGCGGGCGCCGTCCCACGCGGAGAGCGTTCGGTCACCAGAGAGCCTGAGAAGGCGGCCCCTGTCGACAAGCTCTCAGGCACGTGCCTGCGAGGGAGCGGGCAGTGC